AATATAGCTTATGAGTCTCAGCCTCTGCTTCGATATCCTGCTGGGTAGAGTCTTTCAGGGGCCCTCTGTGGTAGGCTCCTGCCCTGTATGCTGGAGAGGATGTGGAGAAAGAGGAACTCTCCTTCGTTGCTGGTGGGAATGTAAACTTGTACAACCACTTTGGAAATCAATCTGGCACTTTCTCAGACAATTAGGAATAGTGCCTAGCTCAAGATCCAGCTATACCACTCCTAGGCATATATCCAGAAGATGCTCAAGTATACAACAAAGATATTTGCTATGTTCATAGCAGCTTTATTTGTTATAGCAGACCCTGGAAACAACCCAGACGTCCCTCAATTGAGGAATGGATACAGAAATTGTGGTACATTTACACAATGGAACACTACTCAGCAATTAAAAACAAGGAAATCATGAAATTTGCAGGCAAATGGTGGGATCTAGAAAAGATCATCCTGAGTGAGCTATCCCAGAAGCAGAAAGACACACATGGTATACACTCACTTATAAGTGAATATTAGATATATATTATACTAATATATAATCATACTAATATCTGTATACCTAAACAAGCTAATTAAGAAGGAGGACTCTGTATAAGATGCTCAATCCTCATTCAGAAAGGCAAATTGGATAGACATTGGAAATTGGATATTTTTAAAGAAACAACTTTTAATTAAAGTGTTTAAATTTATAAGGCTGTGGGACTGGTTTGTAAAATGTTTGTATTGTGATACCTTTACTAATGTGTAATCTTAAGGTTGTGGCTTAAGAGTGATGAGTTTGTGTGTCAAGTTGACAAGGGTCAGCTCTTCTGGCTAGTTTTATGACATAAGCTAAAGTTATCAGAAAGGAGGAAACCGCAGTTGAGAAAATGCCTCCATAAAATTGGGCTGTAGGCAAGCCTGTGGGGCATTTTCTTAATTAACGATCAATGTGGAGGGCTCATCTCATTGTGGATATGGCAACCCCTGGGCCGCTTGTCTTAAATGCTATAAGAAAGCAGACTGAGCAAGCCATGTGAAGCAAGCCAGTAAGCAGCACCCTTCTATGGCCTGTGTATCACCTCCTACCTCTAGAGTCCTGCCTTATTTGAGTTACTGTCCTGACTTTCTTGGATGATGAACAGAGATATGGAAATATAAACCTTTCTTCCCCAGACTGTTTTGGTGATGGTGTTTAATCACAGCAATAATAACCCTATTTAAGACAGCTGCTATTCCCAAAACATTCATCATTCAAAACTTTAACTCATTAAATAACTTCTAACTCTATAATCTGCTAGCCCTGGTAGCCACTCTATTACTTTCTGTCCTTACAGTTATGTATATAATATATAAATGTTATATATTTTTAAGGACCAAACCCAGGGCTTTGCATGCCAGTGCTGCTCTAACCATGCTACATCTTCAGCTTTCAACACACACACATAGAAACACACAAGTACATAAGCATGCACATACCTCAAATGTTTGAGCCTTGCTTGTACTTCTTATGAAGTAGAATTGCTGGGTTGTGGTGTAATTTGATATGTAGTTTTTTGAGGAACTGCCACTTTGGTTTCCATAGCATATACACCATTTTACACATCCAGCAATATTGCACATGAGTTCCTTCTTTACATCTTGCCAAAACTTATTTTCCATTTTAAAAATTCTCATTTTAATAGATGTAAGTCGGTATCTTTTTTTCCATTTCCCTAATCATGCTGGGCATCTCTTCTGTGCAATTATCTTCTTTGGAGAAATGTCCCATTTTGAATTGGGTTGTCTTTTTAAATTCATGTCAGATATTTCTTTAGCATAATTTTATAGATTTGTTTATATCCTTTATAGTTTAATTTCCCCTTTTGTTTTAGCCTTTTCTTTTGATGGAGTACATTCTTCGACATCTTTCTGAGAAAGAGCACATTGGATGTAATTTTTTGAGAACACATAAATCTAAATATATTTTTATAATTAATTGATAATTTGGCTGGTCATGGTAGTCAGTATATTGAAGGGGTTGCCACAGTAGAGAGATTGAGCCTAGCTCTGTCAGTAATGTGAGCAGTTCTCTATGTTCTTAGTTACCTCTGCATTCTTGACCAAGCAATTTCAGAGTCAGATGAAGCAGAATTAGCTATCTTATTAAGTATTTAATGCAAGAAAAGATACTAGGAAAAGGATATTATGCACTGAAGACATGTCTTCTCAAGATATATATGGCTTTCTAATTTACACTGACTGCTTAAAGGACAAAATTCACAACAAGATTAAAGAAAGCTTAAATCTTAAAGAAAGCTTAAAGTTTAGGTGAAAAAATACTGAGCTCTTTTACTTAGTTCTCTTATCATAAAGAATCTCCCATCAGGCATGGTGGCATATACCTATAATCCCAACCTCCAAGATGGAGGCAGGAGACCAGCAGTTCAAGCCAACACTAAGTTGGCTATATAGTAAATTTTAGGCTAGCCTGGGCTACATGAGATCTGTGATGTACTTACAGGTATCAGAGGTAAATTACCAAACCCAGCTTTGTTAGAATCCCCTGGGATATGTGTGATGGGTAGAGGGCCACTTTGGAAAGCTGGTTCTTTCCTTCTACCTTTATGTGGGTTCTGGGGATTGAGTTCAGCTCATCAGGCTTGATTGGCAAACTCTCTTTACCCACTAAGCCATCTCATTGGCTTGTGTTGGAGTTTCTTCATTCATAGCCATCAGGAAAAACAAACTAGATTCTAGAATGAAGGGTTCCCCCCATGCCTTTTTTTTTTTCTTGCTCCCTTAATTTCTTATATCTTGCTTCATTGCTCCACTGTGTTACAGCTTTTCATGTTACAGCTTTTCATGTTATTCTTCGTGTCCAAAGTCATTTTAATCCCTCGGTGTGACCTACTTTCTTTCAGTGGAAGCTTGCAAAATCTTTATCCCCAGCAAAAGGATTTTATTTTACTTTTTTTATTTTTTATTCTCCTCTTATACATTTACATACTGACCACAGTTTTCCCTCCCTTCACTCTTCCCAGACCCTCACTTCCCCAGTATTTTAAATTTCACATTGATATACCCTTTAAGGGTTTATATCTTAAGTAGTCAATTTTGGATTAAGCTTTATCAAACCTGCATAGGTTATTTACATCTTTTTAGTTTTTTAGTTTGTTTTTGTTTTGTCTTTATATCTTATTCCACTGCTGCCTGTTATTGTGGGTTTACTCCATTTATAAGTGATCGTTAGCTGGGTGGTGGTGGTATACATCTTTAATCCTACCACTTGGGAGGTAGAGGCAGGTACATCTCTGCGTTCAAGGCCAGCCTGATCTACAAAGCAAGTTCCAGGACAGCCAGGGCTACACAGAGAAACCTTGCCTTTAAAATAAATAAATAAATAAATAAATAAATAAATAAATAAATAAATAAATAAA